TTGTCCTTCTTTGCTTCCCTAGCCAATCTCTTCCTTTCAGCTTTTGACAATCTTTTCCTTTTACTCTTCTCTATAGTCTCCTCAGTAATATTACCGTAACCAACACCTGCTGGAGCAAAACCATCAAACTCAGATTCATCTTCCTCTTTCAAAAACTTAGCTTCCCATTCATCAGAATCCCAATCAAACTCATCCCCTTCCTCCATATCATCTCCTTCTGAATCACTCCCCTCCAATTTACCCTCAATTCCATCCCAAAATTCCTCCCCTTCTTCATCACTAAACCCTTCAATTTCACCTTCAAAACCCTCTTCTCCACCATCCTCATCTTTTAACACTTCCTTTGTAATGACCCTTCTTTTCTTATAATACCCAGGAAAATTCGGGTCTTTATCTTGCATAAAAACACCACATCCTGGACAAACAGGACCATAGTTCTCATCCTCATCCCTCCCCTCACTTAAAACTGGACCCTTTCCTTTCCTTGGCGTGATTTTTCCATGAATTCTCTCTGTCGTTTGACTACCTGACGGGTTCTTTATCGCTAAACCAATTATCGAAAACTTTTCCCTTTTATTGTTCTTCACATTCAATCCTGTTAAAATAGTCCTTCTGTAAATCCCATTTCAGATTATGCATGGAAAAGCAAAAAAGAATAGGGAAAGCGGAAGAACCTGTGAAAAGACGGAACATTGTTGCTGGGTTTTCATTTACGCTTCCACTACTATGACAGAATAGCTTAGGCCTCAGATTGTTCATCGTTGTTGATAAAAGAAGCGCCATTTTCTTCGACCTGGACTCGAACAATCTTAGCGACAAAAGAGACAGAGGAGAAAGCAGAACGATTTTGAAAAGGACTAAAATGCAAAGAATCATAGTTAACAGGATATTTCTCAATTAATTTGTACATTTTTTTTTTCTCTTTTTTGTTTATTTAGTGAGTACGTAAAACAGACCCAAGAAAGGGCTAGCCCAAGTCCCAGTACATGGCCAAATCAAAATCAAGTGGCCCATGATCGCTTTGTGAAATTGCAAAAGCTGAAATGCATTAGACTTCTTCGGTCTGACACTGATCCAGTTAACCTAAAGTAATAGTGCTAAAAGGCCCAACCCCCGAATTAAATCTGCCCCCAAGTATGGGGCAAGGGTAGATACACCTTTAAATTAAATGTAGGGATAAATTACTCAATTAATTAATTGGATTGGAAACATGACCCAAAATTTATCCATTGGCATCATGTGACGTCAACTTTTCGTTGATTTCTTGCTTATTTGACTTTTTTTTTTTTATTTATATCATGTAATGTTAATAGTTAAATTTTAGGTTATTTGTCTAATCTAATTAATTGGTAGAGCAATTTGTCTTTGTATTTAATCTGAGGGTAAATTTGTCTCTACTCCCATACTTGAGAAGAAAATTTGGGAGTTTCGCCAATCCTAAAGTAATGAAGAGCAAAAGGTCAATAAATATGAAAATTGTTAATTGTATTTTCCATTCATGCTTAACCCCCTAAAACCTCTCTAATTGTTTGTCTTTAAGACTATTAGCCCCTAAATGTACCCTTTGTATATTTTAACCCAAAAACTCCATATTATTGTTGTAATTGGCTTAAAACAGACGAAATCTCATCACGTGAGTTAGCCATCTCTACTTCATTATCCTATCCTCATTTGCACTATCCTAACATAACATAAATATGATTCATTTAGACCAATGGAGGTAGAAAAATCCCACCTAAAGTACATGAGTTTTATCCTAGACAGGATTTTTCTCACTGCTATGGTTCAAGTGAACTATATTTATGCCAACATGAAACTAATGAGCATAAGGTAATGAAGTAGAAAAGGCCACATGACTCACATAATGAAATTCTATCTATTTTAAGTCAATTATAGCAATAATGTGAAGTTTATGGATTAAATCACACAAAATATATGTTGAGAGGTTAATGGTCTCAAAAACAAACAATTAAAGGGGTTTAGGGAGTTTATGCCCTTCTATTAATTGGAATCAATTTTCGTTGACTACTTTTGTAAAGAATTTTCAAACGCTAGAAAACACAAAGACTAATTTTTTTGGAATTGATTTTTTACAAATCAAACGGATCCTTAGTGAAATATTGATATACAATGACAAAAAATAATGTATTTTCATTTCTAAAACATCCTTTTTAATAATTTCAACATCACATCAGATTACAACATCTTTAAAAAAAAATTATCATTGTTTCATCTTTAAAAGTACTTCCATAAAAAATGTTGTTACACACTCCTTAGTTTTTTGCAACAGAACTTTTAGAATGGATTCTCTCATGCAAAACTTATATCATAACAAGCTTCAGTTATACCAAACTAACCCTTTAACTTGAGATTAACAATGGGAATAAACCCAACCAGCATATATAATTTGACAACAGAGAAAAGTGCCTAGCTTGTACCCTTGGTGCAACTGTTCGTGTTCCCTACTCATTTTAGAATTTAAGAAAGAGTG